ATTAAAAAAATAACGTGATAAAAAAAATAAAAAAATAAAAAAAATGCACTTAATTAGAATAGTCAAACTCCACCTTAATAAAAACCTTTCTCGAAAAGATCTAAAATTTGATATATGGATTGACTTGCCAATAATTTTAGAGTCCGGATCCTCTAGAGTAACTCTCTAGAGTGATCTTCTAAAGTGGATGATCGGACGGTTCAGAATAGTCCTCACCAAAACGACGTCGTTTTGGTGAGGATTTTCCAAAAAAAAAAAAAAAAAAAAAAACCTGAGTGTATTTTTTATCTTTTTATAAAAAATTATACAAATAAAAATAAAAAAATAACGTGATAAAAAAAATAAAAAAATAAAAAACAAAAATGCTTTATGCCCCCAATTTTTCAGACCCCCAGTGACCCCCAGTGTATTCTTATTGGCTGAATTTTTTTTTTTTTTTTTTTTCCATCTCTCTGCCAATCACAGAGCCCCACGTGGAGTGGGGGTGCTGGGGGTCACCCCCACTGGGGGTCCCAACACGGTTGAATAAAAAATATACACTTATTTAGAATAGTCAAATTCCACCTTAATAAAAACCTTTCTCGAAAAGATCTAAAATTTGATATATGGATTGACTTGCCAATAATTTTATGTCGAGTATATTTCTTATGGGTTTAGTTATGGTGTGCAACTTACACCTTACACCTTATACCTTACACTTATACCTTACACTTACACCTTTTGTAAAAAATTAAACCTTACACTTACACCTTTTTTGAAGTTGCACACCATATGCAACCCACTTACACCTTACACCTTACCCTTACATCTTACACTTACACCTTATACTTATACTTACACCTTACACTTACACTTTTTGTGTAAGTGGCACATGGTGTGCACTTGCACGCTTAAGAAAACTCCATTTCTTATTGGCTATTCATCATAGTCCACACCCAATCTCTCTCTCTCTCTCTCACTCTCTCTCTCTCTGCTTCTGCTTCTGCTTCAGCTTCAGAGCTCAGCCATGGCTGCCACCAACACAACCAATCTCTCCCCTCTCTCTTCCTCCCTCAACAAACCCTACTCTCTCTCCAAACCAAAACCCTCCTCTCTCTTCCCCAAACCCCTCCCCCACCCCTCCCACTCCAAAACCTACAAAACTCTCTTCTCAACCTCCTCTAAAAACCCCATCTCCGACCTTATCTCCACTCACAAACCAAACCCAGATCCCCATTCACTCACATTCGACAACGATGACAAGCCCCGCGAAGAATGCGGCGTTGTGGGCATCTACGGCGACCCAGAAGCCTCTCGCCTCTGCTACCTCTCTCTCCATGCTCTCCAACACCGCGGCCAAGAAGGCGCCGGAATCGTCTCCGTCCACCAAAACATCCTCAAATCCATCACCGGCGTCGGACTCGTCTCCGAAGTCTTCACTCAATCCAAACTCAATCAACTTCCCGGCGATTCAGCCATTGGTCACGTTCGCTACTCCACTGCTGGCTCTTCAATGCTCAAAAATGTCCAACCCTTCGTCGCCGGCTATCGATTCGGCTCTGTTGGGGTTGCCCACAATGGGAATTTAGTGAATTACCAAACCCTTAGAGCCAATCTTGAAGATAATGGGTCAATTTTCAATACTAGTTCTGATACAGAGGTGGTTCTTCACCTCATCGCGACATCCAAAGCCAGACCCTTTTTTTTGAGGATTGTTGAGGCCTGTGAGAAGCTTGAAGGGGCTTATTCAATGGTTTTTTTGACTGAAGATAAATTGGTTGCGGTTCGAGACCCCTATGGGTTTCGACCATTGGTGATGGGTAGGAGAAGAAATGGGGCTGTTGTGTTTGCCTCTGAGACTTGTGCTTTGGATTTAATTGAGGCTACTTATGAGAGAGAGGTTTATCCTGGTGAAGTATTGGTGGTGGATAAAGATGGTGTTCGATCACTCTGTTTAATGCCTCACCCTGAACCCAAAGCTTGTGTCTTTGAACATATATACTTTGCTTTGCCTAATTCTGTTGTTTTTGGGAGGTCTGTGTATGAATCGCGCCAGGCATTTGGTGAAATACTTGCTACTGAAGCCCCCGTTGATTGTGATGTTGTGATTGCTGTCCCTGATTCTGGGGTTGTTGCTGCTCTTGGCTATGCTGCCAAAGCAGGGGTGCCCTTTCAACAAGGGTTGATAAGGTCACACTATGTGGGTAGGACTTTTATTGAGCCATCTCAGAAGATTAGGGACTTTGGTGTGAAGCTCAAGCTCTCACCGGTCCGGGCTGTGTTGGAAGGGAAAAGGGTTGTGGTTGTGGATGATTCGATTGTGCGAGGAACCACCTCGTCAAAGATTGTTAGGTTGATAAAGGAGGCAGGGGCTAAGGAAGTTCACTTGAGGATTGCTAGTCCTCCAATTATAGGGTCTTGTTACTATGGAGTGGACACTCCTAGTTCTGAGGAGTTGATTTCGAATAGGATGAATGTGGAGGAGATTAGGGAGTTTATAGGGTCGGATTCGCTTGCTTTTTTGTCAGTTGATAGCTTGAAGAAGATGTTGGGAAGTGATTCTCCTAACTTCTGTTATGCTTGCTTTTCTGGGAACTACCCGGTTTTGCCAACGGGGAAAGTGAAACGGGTTGGCGATTTTGTGGATGATGGGTTGAATGGAAGTATAGAATCAATTGATGGGGGTTGGATTCGAGGAACTAAAATTCAGAATGAGGGGGAGAGAGATTCAAACCAGAAACTTCAGGAGGAAACAATTCCTCTATAGTGGTCATATTGCTCAGGGTATTCCCAATTTACTATATTAATTGCCTTTTTTGTGACGACAACAGAAAAATTTGGGGACTCAACGATTTTAGTACAATTTTTGTTGTGTTTCTTTGGTTAAATTGCAGGAGGGGAAGCTAAAATCCGTATTCTGATATTGAATTGGTCTAACTTCTCATTATCACAGATAGCTGTGGATTGTTCTTGAGCTTGAGCATTTGAATGCATAACTTTTCTTGAATGTAAGGCATGGTGTTTTCAGACAACGGAAGAGGCATTCTGATTTCTTGATTCTTATCTAAGGATGAAATCTTACATAAGTTGTGGTAAGATTTGGTAGGTGACTATTGAATCTTACGCAAGACTTATGGGGCGCATGGTTTTTTTGCATCTTATGATTAGAAAGGAATGCCCGGATTTTTTAGGAGAAATTTGAAGACTTTGAAAGCATTTGGGAGCAAGAAGATTTATTTCTTGGCGCCTTTTTGGGTTTCAGTGGCTCCCTCTGTAATTAATATTTTTTTCTATTTTAATTTATTATATTTTTGTTGCTGATCAAATTAAAAACAAAAAGATTTGGTGGGCTACTACTGTTTTCGATCATTGCTTTCTAGGAATTCAATTGTAGTCATTTTGATAGTTATGTTGGTAATTAAGTGTTTTGATACGTGAGAAGCTAAAGATGGCGGTATCCAATGGAGGAGAAAACGAGGGAAAATCACTTGTTATGTTTGGTCGAGAGATTTGAAAAGGAAAATAAAAAAAAATAGTTGAAATATAAATAAAACATATCTTTTTATTTTTTCTCCCCAAATCCTCCTATTTGGGAAGGAATTTGGAAAGGGTAAAAAAAAATGTGTGTATATTTTATTTACATTTTATTTATTTATTTATTTATTTATTTTTCTTTTCAAATCTCTCGACCGAACATAACATAAAAAAAGTTTGATTTTGTTCAACGAAGACCCATGAATATGTTAGTAAGTTTAGCATTATTTGATTCAAGTTCAACATTTTGGGATTGGTTTTAGTTTCAAGTTCAACCCTGATGGAATTGTGTACTTGGTAGGCTGGAACAAAATAATCTTCGGTTCTGAAAACAGTTTACTTAACTTGAGGTTTGGATTGTCATGCTTTGATCTTTGTTCCACTCGATCAAATTTCTTGGATCATTGTCCAGGTCGATTTTTTTGACATATCAAAAATTGTTTGATCTGTAAAGAAAATTGAGATTCAGGCCAAATTATGTTTGTCTTTGATCTTGAAAGTATCACTTGATCTTCAAGGCAAGAAAACCAGGGTGGAAGAAATAAATGTCATCCCCTTCCCCTTTTCTTTGAGGCAAGGAACAAGGGAAATTTTCACCTACTCTTTTATTTTTGTGCACATCACATCTGAGATAACACACTTAATGAATTTGAACATAATCCTTTATACCAAAAATACCCTCTTCTTTATCCTTCCATCACTAACCTTAATCTCTAACTCTAATTAGTCACTATTGCCACATTCACCATAGCTGTCGTCGTAGTTTGTTTCAAAATACTACGATGCACTGTTTCCAAACTTTTTATTGCTTATACAACTAGAGAGTTCACATTTGTATTGCACCTTAATTGATATAATTTATTTTGAAAAGAAAAGGTACAAACTTGATATACCTAACTTTATCTCTCTAGATAAGTTTTTTAAATGGTTTCTAACCATTGATTACACTTGTTTCTTTTCTATATTAAAGTGGCTCACCTCTCTATATCTATGTGGAAACATGTTATCATCAACAATGCTTGATCTGCTACCACACAAATAGAGTTGTTGCTCGTAACCTAATATTGATTTCATACCCTACTGAGGTGGTCAAGAGAGGAGGCCGACAGTGGTGCAGCAACTGGTTAGGGTTAAAATTTTTTGAGTGGCTTGGACACTAGAATTTTGAATGTGGAAGATGAAAGGATATTTTGATATTTTTATTTTTAAATAAAAATATAATTAATATATTTTTTTTTCATTAAGTATATGGAGTGAGAATTTTATATGTGGAAATAAAATTTCCCAAGAGACACAAATAAAGTACGGGCAGCAAATTACCCCAACACCCCTCCCGTCAACCCAATATACCCACAAGGACGAAACACCACAAACTTGGTCCCACTCCAGTCTACCGTGTTGCCATTCCTACATGCAAACAAGTAATTATACAAGATCGAGACAGTAATCCTATGTATCGGTCCCGAAGCATAAATCTCAGCAATAAGTTCATCTGAATAACAGTTCTTTGCTTTCATTTTCTACCAATGGCATCTTCCTGAACAAATAAGCATAAATTTCAACAATAATTTCATCTGAATACAGTAGTTTGTTTTCATTCTCAATGAATAGCATCTCCGTGATTTTTTATATTTAAAAACCGCTTGTCCACAAAGCCTCAATTCGCACTACAATGTCAATGTTATTGTAACAAACTCGCTCATTTTCATCGCTCCATGAACATAATCAAGCAGCATGCATGCCCAGCCCCGGGTCCAATATCAGCATCCACATAAACGCCATAGTGAGCTGAGAGTGCAAGAACCATTTCGGTGAAACAAGAACTAGTATCATGTTCACCACAACCACCACATGTGACACACAAAATCAGCCATTTTCTGCTCTGTCATAAGAATTAGATTTATGCTTCGGTGTAAATGTAAAGCCATCAGGAACCTTGCCAAGTAACATCTCAGATATCCTAATCTGCATAAGAAATATAACAAGTGAATATTAACATAACAAGAGCAACAAAAATCATTAAACCACTGACTAATAAGGTAATTGCATACCCAATCAGCTGCAGACTCTGAAGCCATTAGAGTCTCGAGATCATCACGACCAAAGTACGAGGGTGGCCGCCAATTCAGTCGTTGTGGGATAACATCCAAAAGATTAACGGGGATGTACCTGTGTGTGTAACTAAGCCATTCCAACAAGAAGTACCGAGTTGTCTCCACACCTGCAGTTACAATACGGATATCAGGGTTACCCACATAACCATGTTCCACACAAGGCACGTCAAAAGGTTTTGGACAAATGCTTTGGTTTGCATCTGACTATTGACAAAATATAAAAATAAAAAGGGAGAAAGAAAGAAAATGGACACGATATGTGTACTAATTAAAACAAGAATAATGTGTTTTGAATGAGAACTGAATTGTTTTAGAAGGCATCATATATTCATCCTCGTACTTTTGTTACTGTCATGAAAGGGGTCACTAATTCTAGATTCTAGAGCATAGGCCTTCAAACTCTAACCCTATAGTCCAAATCTCAGTGGCCAAGCATTTCGCTTCAAATGCCACATGAGTCTCATGTCCCATATCCACTAAAAGATCAAAACTGTCCACTACGCCGTAGGCGTGAGGAGTCAATATTGGCAAAAACCAATCATGCTCTCATGTGTCATCAAACAAATTCCACAAACATTGTGGCCAGAAAACATGGATATTTTATGTTGGTTATGCCATCTGGTATTCTAATATTTGAATTGTTAATACTGTATATACTGAACCAACACTTGGGAACCCTTTCCTCAAACAATTAAATTTAGCCAAAGGATAAGAAAAAAGGTTCAGCACCACCCACCGATGAAGGAAACAGCAATGCTAGAGAGACACTATTCTTTATGCAGCTGATTTTAGGACAAAAAAAAAATTGATGCAACAAGAAAGAGTTACCCCATGCACAGTGAGAGGCCAACATGGCCTAGAAATTATTTATGCAAAAACAAAAATTGTCCTTGGCTGTCTCTTGGAAATAAATAGTTAAAAATGACCTCAAATGAATCAGGTGGCTCAACATACTACAGATTGAATCTCTTTAAGCTTAAACATGGTTGTCCCAGCTGTAAGACTAGGTGCATAAAGAACAATGTATGCTTGTCAAATGGTAATAATAGTAATATTACTATGTTATATACCATACGCCATTTAAACTAAGGTGTCTTAGGTGATGTACCAGTTAAGTGCTCAAGCACCATAAATAACTTCATATTGACTGTCAATATAAGGGTGATATAGAAGCCATATTTCCCAGGCATCATTTAAGCTTGAGAAGCAAGTGATACCACCCAATAAATCAACCAAATTGACCTTCTTTGAATCAGCTTGACGAGTTGCCCAAATGGGGCCACTCCTTGGTTGCATCAATACCATCTGGTTCTGTTATGGGTTGGTCTGGTCCGAATCATTTACATTTTTCTTAACTGGATACAAATGTAATTAGCATTATCCAATAACAAATGGAAATAATCATATAGTATATCACACACCTTTAGCATCAGAGCCCCAATGTTCTAGCCCAAAACGTATGTAATCCTTTAAAATATTTAAACGTTCTCCAGAACTGATGTCCCAAGTTCTCTGCTCCTTCATTTCAGTAAATATCCAAGGCTGCAAACAAGAGCTGATAATATTCATGTTTCATAAATTACAGACCTCAAATAGTAGAGTTCAAAAGTGCACACAAATAAATTATTTGGAAAAACAATCAATAAAAATCAAGGCAATTCAAAGCTATAAATGCAAACCTTAATTAATGCACCTCGAGCAATCATACATGTAGAAAGTTCAGGGCAACTGGACTTGTTCTGATTCCAGTCTAAATATGAAAAGACATCACCGTTCCCCAGGACTTGCAAAGTATCAGGGGCCTTTCTTGCACACTGGTAGATGTATTCCCAATCAGCAAGCTTGCTATACCGTTGCTGACGCGATCGCCCGTGTATCGTTACTGCACTGGCTCCCCATTGTCCAATATCTTCAATTAACGAATCAATGCGTCTTCTTCCCTCAAAATAACCTGTTCGTACCTAGAGCATCATGATGCATATCAGACAAGCTCACTGAAGAAAGAACAACGTTAGTTTAAATCACAAAGATAAAAGATAAGTCGAGGATTGAAAATTGAAAAACATCTAAATTATTATTAGCTATATAAAGTTGCCATTCATTTTAGCTTAATTTAAATGTTATTAAGTACCTTAACAGTAATAGGTCTGTCAACTGTAGTAGAAGCTGCTTGTATAATGCTTTTCATCCGCATTGGTTTTGTAAGAAGAGCTGATCCAGCACCCTTGTTAACAACAATATCAATTGGGCAACCCATATTGATATCAATGAAGTCCACTGTACATTCCTGATTAACAAGTTCAACAGCTCGTGTAACAGTATCAGGATATGCCCCACATATCTGAACCCCAAACAAATCCTCAGATGAATGACGTCTAAGCAGCGCCCATTCTGAAGCCTGACCCTGTTTTTACAAACAACAGTAAATTATGACACATTGAACTCAAAAAATTTTGCATAGGAAACATAAGTGAATAATACAGAGAACACTTCCACGGAGATTGAGAGTAGAATGACTAAATCATCATTTCATGGTAGCACCCATATATTATCCGCTAACGAAATGGCCTTTGATAAAGCCGCGTGAAGAAGAAAGATTCATGTTGCCGACCCTATTTGATGGGACTTAAGACTTGATTTGGTTTGGTTTACCTATATATTATCCGCATTAAAATACAATGTGTTGCTCACCAAGATTGGGGACAGAACATTTCCATGTCAAAATGTAGACTAGATCAGATGCATTGTATATAACAGTAACACCAAAATACATAAATTTCTATATAGGCTCAAAAACAGTATATACATACAATTATACAAACATACATCCCCCGGTGTGTGTGGATCCAAAATGTAATGTCTACCTACGAAATATAATATTTCTTAAATTTCAAGTTGACTAAGTTCCAAAAGGACTGCACTCACTATCCAGAAAGAAAAGTATAAAACAAATACCAAAGAGAAGTTGGAACAATTTATGAAAGAGATGGCGCAGGGAAAAATTAAAATAACTAATTCAATTCATAAATACAAAATATTCTGAAATCCAGGACAGCTAATATTAAAACATCAAGAACCAAAAAGTTGGCATCAAATGTGAAGAGAAGCCCTGTATTCAATAAGAAATTTGGTTGCAAAAACAGATTATGAACCTGCAAGAGATTTGTGCACATTGCCATCTCACCACATGTTACATCAGCTCCTAACACCTTGCAAACCCTTCGGAAAGGAAGATTCCCAACTGTGGTCAAGGGTGCAAGATATAGCTTTTCTCTGAAATCAATAAGCTTCTTCTCACGTGGGTGTAATTTTAGGCTTCCATCAGTTTCTGCCGGAATACAGTCAGTTGTAGTTCCTGATTCCGCTTGAGGGCAGCTTTCCTCAACATCTTTCGCCAGGACACTGTCACCTGTCCAGTATCACATATGTAAGTAGTGTATCTGTTAGATGAACATATTAGATGTACAAAATAACACATTCCATTGAAATTGAACAAACCATTATTTAATTCATTAGAACTATGATTTTCATCTGCTGAAGATTTTGCTTTTTTCAGTGGTCTAAGTTCATCAGAAGCAAATGTACCATCTGCACAATCATCTTTCTCTGGCAGTTGTGGAGGGTTATCCACATTATTATTTGAGTTACCGGCCACTTCACAACTGTTAACTTCAGTAGCAGGAGACCCATTTGAAGTAGTTTGATCACTTTCCTCCTTATCTGATAACTTTTCGTGTTTTGAGTTCATCTTGACCTGCACTTGGAATACTAAATCATTAACGAACTCAAATGGAATTGGTAGAGAGGGAACACTTAAGGATCCTTGCTTGCCAAAACGAAACGCCAGCATAATCAAATTTAATTATTAAAGTACCAGAATATAAAAGCACAAAAACTACCAATGAACTGCAAAAGAGATTGCTAATGAAAATAAGAAACAAAAAAGAGACCATTACATAAGGAGATTCCAAGTAGATATAGATTCAATCCATCACCCTCAACAGGGTCTAAAATGAGTCCTTTGTGTTCCTTCTATCTACTAAACAAATTTATTTGTTAGACCCAACCTTTTATATCAAAATGATTTTGGTTAATCACATAATACTAATCAACATTTCTTGAAATGCTATGACAAAAACAATGGATTGATTCAATATGGCACCTACAAGAACACCCTAGACCTTATAAAATGCAGAAACAGGGGAGAAGGGGAGGAAAGGGTGGGGAAAATTGAGAAGAAATATATAATACTGTCTGCTCATACCAGAAGGCCAAGAAGTTTTAGTTGAGCATCAGCCTTGGGAAACTTCATTTTGTTTTTCCACAGAAGCTTCTGGACATCTTTGTTCAAACCATTCATCTCGGAGCTTTTCTTCTGACCATTCAAAGCTTCAGCAGTAAAATCATCTTTATGTGTACTTGAAAATCTACATGCCATACCATAAGGACATGGTCCTTCAGTGCTCAAGAAAGGACAGTCTCCCTGTATATCAGCTGGTTTCTGCATTCAAAACATCAATTTCATCATGAGAGTTAAATGAGATAATACACACAAAACGATCATTCAGCAAATACAAATTGTCTAGGGAATCGTTGTTTCTTTACCAGAGCCTTGAAGGCTTCTACATCGTGGCTGAAGCGGCACTTATCACTGTAAGGGCATGAAGTAACATCTCCACTTCTTGCAACCTCGGGACAGAGATGTAGCGCAGATTTCTTTTCCTGTGAGAGATTTCAGAGTACCTTATTTGACTATGCAATAATTGAAAATTGAATTTCTACCCAAAAATATATATATATATATATATATGCATAATTGATGAGCAAAATCGTAACTTTGAAGCTCAATTTCAAAATACACAATAAACCCATTACAAGCACCACTGCAACGCCGTCATAAACATATGATATGGTATTATTACACCACCCAGCTTGCACACAAAATCAGCATATTACCAAATCACAGCATGAAAATGAAGGTCGCTAAATACGCCTACTACAATAGCATTCGTACAACAAAGTAACTAGGGCTGCAAGATGAAGCAAGCTGCCCTAGCTCGACTCTTGCCCGGCTCATTAAAAATTTGTTCAAAATCGACTCATTAGGTAAACAAACTAAATTTGAACAAATTATAAAACTCGTTTAAGTTTTCAGGCAAAGCTTGAACAACCACTACTCGGCTTGATAAGCATATATACACTATATAAATAAATATAAAAAAACAAACTACCATAGCTCAACTCATTTTTGGCTCATTAATACGTCTTTTAAGTTTTTTAATGATCACAACATGAAAATGAAGGTCCATTAGCAGCGTAGCTAAATACGCCTGCTACAATGGCATTCGTACAACAAAGTAACTAGGGCTGCAAGATGAAGCAAGCTGCCCTAGCTCGGCTCATTAAAAACTTGTTCAAAATCGACTCATTAGGTAAACAAACTAAATTTGAACAAATTATAAAACTCGTTTAAGTTTTCAGGCAAAGCTTGAACAACCACTACTCGGCTTGATAAGCATATATACACTATATAAATAAATATAAAAAAACAAACTACCATAGCTCAACTCATTTTTGGCTCATTAATACGTCTTTTAAGTTTTTTAATGACCAATTAATCGGCTATACTCGGCTTGTTTGCACCCTAAAACTAATGACTCTTAATAAATTAAAAATAATAATAATCAACCAATAAATTTAACAAAATGCCTGCATCTCATTCCTGTGTATAGTCCTAAACTTAACATTCGCTATGACAGAGAGAGAGTGGAGGGACCTGAAGGCGCTCTCTTTTGAGTTGTCTTTTAGATTTCTTCTCCTTGAGAAGGTTTGAGTTTGAGTTTGAATTTGAATTTGAAGCGACAGCGTTGGTGAGGTGGTTACTGGTGGAAGGTCTGATGGGCGGAGGACGAAGAAACTCCTTCTTCACGGGGGCAATGGCTTTCGCCACCAGCTCTTCTGCTGTTTTCTCAGCCACTACGCCGCCGTCTGATGGAGCTTCCTCCGCAGTGGAAAGGTCCATTCCGGTTGAGGAGGCTTCTCTTCTGTGTAGGGTTTCTTCTGTAGAGAGCAATAGAGGAGTAGCTGATATGTGTTTCATCCAACACTACCACAAAATATTATTAATTATAAATTTTTAACCATGATTTAAAAATTTTGTAATAAAAAATAGAATAATGCTTGGGACCCCTTTTGGAGGTCACCCCCTCACCTCCTTTTGTCACGTGGCGGGTGCTGATTGGAGGAGTAGGAAAAAAAAGAAAAAGAAAAAGAAAATGTAACCAATGAGAGAGAGAGGGGGTCAAAGGGGGTGGGAAAAAAAGGGGATGAATCATTGTTGTAAAAAATATTATTAATTATAAATTTTAGTGATAATTTTTAAAAAAAATATTATAAAAAAAGTTATTAATTTTTAACTTTTAATAGTAATTTGAAAATTATCATAGAAAAATGTCACTAATTATAAATTTTAGTGACAATTTATAAAAATCGTGATAAAAAAAATCATTAATTATTAATTTTTAGTGAAATATGTAAAAAATTGTCATATGTAATTATTTTTAACGACGATTTTATGAAGAATTATTTTTAATAGGATTTAATAAAAATTAAACCTAATTAGTAAGATCGATTAGTAGTTTATTGGCCTTGTACCATGATTTTGCTTGGGTCACGATCGAAGGGGGGTCATCACAATGTGAAATTTGTGGAGAAAATGCACTGTTCATCGAAAAACAATTTCAACAATGATTCATGAGAGGGGAGATTTGCACCATTAGTACGGCCGAGCTACGACAGTGCCGGTCGTGACAAACTTCGCGGCGCCGCGCTATTTCCTCTACTGAGACGGCCGGTGGATCTGTTTTGCTCGGTCAAGAAGATCAGCAGACCAGGCGTGAACTACGCCCGGCCGAGCTGTGACTTGTAGACATTTGGCAGGGCACGCAGTCGAGTGGCGAGACTGGGCTACGGGTAGCTCGGGCTAAACCAAGGACGAGGCGAAGGCCGACATGCCTTTGAACGGTTAGCCGAGATGGACAGATCCCAGATAACCTCGGATGAAGGTAGAACGGATGGAGGCCGGCATGCCTCGGAACTGGTAAGCCACAATAAACCTGTCAATATCAGCCCGGTCATGAGCATCACCCCTCGGCCCCTTTGCCAAAGGGGCAGGCTGGCGACACATAGCTCGGTTGCGTGCATGTGGTGACAGTTCTCCACAAGGGATAGGCCGGTTGTGGTACTCCAGTTAGGTGTGCCACCTGGGCCAATGGCGTGAGGGAGAGGACATCTGCTCCACGCACGCATCAATACCGTTGGACAGTTCTGCGCGTACTGGTAAGAGGACTAAGCCTTTACACGCGTAAGGTGGTGAGAGGCGAGCACTGTCACCTGTCCAGGGAAGAACAGCAGAGATAGTGCGCGCACAGTCTTGAGGCTGCACGGCCAGCCTAGAAATAGAAGGAAAGAGGAACGTTAGAGGTATGAAAAATTCACTCTATCACTAACACTCTCTCTCTCTCTGATAGCCTTCTTCTTCCTCCAGTGGTTTGACTTGATCGTCGGAGGGTTTATCCGGCACACCACCACCGGGCAGCTCACCATTTCTGTGTTGCAGAGATAGACGCCATCACGAGAAGCTTGACGTCCAAGGAGTACGGAAAGCAGAGGATATTTCGCCTCCGTACAATTGGCGCCGTCTGTGGGAAGTCTTTGGTACTCAACCCTTGTTCTTTGAGCTTCTTCGACCATTTCCATGGCCAACAACGACGAAGCCCCACTGTCCGTTGTCGATGGTGTCACACCGGAGTATGTCCGCTTGAGAGAAGGCCCCCCGAATATTCCAGCCATGGCGGGCTTAGAGACTTCTTCGCGAGGTGCGCGAGACAAACGCGGAAGGAGTACTGATCGCTCGCAGAGTCCAGAGGGCCGCCGACGCCGGGGGGAGTCCCATGCGCAGCGCCTGGAGCACAAACTCAAGGACCAAGACGCCCTCATTCGTAGGATGGCGGCGAAGATGGAGCTGCTGAAACGCCAGATTAAAGGGCAGGGTGTTGCTGGAGAGGGCAACCTTAGTGAGCGCACCCCGTCCCCTCGTTGTAGCAGTCGCCGCCAGGGAAGGACTCACTCTCTCTCCATCACCAGGAACTATGGGGTTGGAGATTCCGACCAAAGAGAGAGCAGGTCCCTCTCTCGCGACAACACTTACCGCCCCTCACGCCCGACGCCGACTTCGCGATCCTCTTTCTCCACACGTTCCAGAGACTTGAGGGATGTATTGGAGGAGAGGGCACGCCGTCGGGAGGCTCGGAGAGTGCCGGCATTGCAGAGGTTGAGCGCTCCAGTTCATGGTAGTGAGGAAGTGGCGATGCCAGCCCCCAAAGCGATGGCCCCTGCGCTGGTGGACAAAGAGCTGGCGCGACTTACAGCCACGCCGCTGTCTCCAGAGATTGAGAGTACACCACTCCCCGCCAGATTCCACCAGCCAAAGTTCACTTTGTACGACGGCAAGACGGATCCGTACATGCATGTGAGCCATTACCGGCAAGTAATGGCTGGCCACCGGCGCAACTACGCCTTGATGTGCCTCATATTCCCAGCAAGCTTGGGAGAGCTGGGTTTGAACTGGTTCAAAAGGCTCCCAAATGGGAGTATTGAGGGGTGACAGCAACTAGCGGAAGCCTTCGTCACCAGATTCAAAACCAACACACGAACGCCGAAGGAGATCGACCATCTCCTGGGCGTTAAGATGGAGTCTGGATGTTCATTGAAGGCATACAATGCGAAATACTGGGAAACTTACAATGAGATCCTCGACTGCTCCACCAATCTGGCAATCACTCAATACAAACGGGGTCTCCCAGTCGGACATAGGCTGCGAGATTCACTCACGATGCATCAACCCACAACCATGGAGTCATTGATGCAGCGGGTCAATGAGCACATTCGCGTGGAGGATGATGCCGCCTCCGCGACCGAGAAGGCTAATCCGGTCGCGGGGGACAGAAGGGTGGCGGGGAAAGTTCACTCGGTTGGGCAGGAGGATAACCGCCCAAACAACCGGTCAAAAGATCAACGCCATGGTTCAAACCGTGATGACAGAAACAAGGGCCGCCGAAATAACCGGGCTGACACTCCCCGTGATGCAGCGAAGGATGCCAAAAGAAAATTGAAGGCACGGACTGGAATCACCACGGTCTTTAAAATCCCCATTTATCGCATTTTGGGCGAGATTCGAGGTGAACCCTTCGTCCGTTGGCCGGCCAAGTTGGGGAGTGCGCAGAGGGGCTTCAATTCAAAATATCGCTGCACCTTCCATGAAGAACGAGGCCACCGAACGGAGGACTGCTTGCCGCTCAAACAACACTTAGAGGAGTTGGTGGCGGCGGGGCATCTTGACCAATACATAGATGGGGGTATCAAGGCCACGCCAGCGGACCAAGCCGAGCCAAAC